AAGAATTTGCAGAGGAGAATGAAGGAGAGGTTAAGAGTTAGGATAAGCAATGGCACAGTAACAAAAAGGAAAGATGGAAAGATAGTGAGAAATGAAAAAACTACTACATGTTAAAAGAAAAGTTATCCTACCAAATGTCTTGTTATTGCGCGACATTCCAACACCACGCACCTTGCTGTTCATCTTTTGTTTAGTTTGATAAAGCAGAGTAATAATATAGTCCTTTCAAATGTAGCTAACTCAATAGTATAGTGAGTATGAATGATGTGATGGTAGGGGTGGGGTAGGATTTATATCATAGTGTGATCATGTACTACATATTAGAAAAATAATATTATATTTAATAAATATTTATTCAGTTTTTAACGTATAAATAAAATACAATACAGTAAGAATTATGCACCTGTCAATGTTAAGCCCCAGAGGGGGGGGGGGGGATCGGGCATAGGTGGGGCATTTGATTTTTTGAGCAAATTTTCAATCAAATGCCTCACCGTCGTGCAATAAATATTGGTCAAATGCCCCACCATTTTGCAATAAATTGCAATAAATACTATGTTAATAAAAGTCATTAGGTTCAAATTGCCCCAACTTGGGGCCAAAATGCTAATCAAAATCCCCAGGGTGGGGATGCAATTGATGATCAAGTACCCCACATATGCCAACCCCCCCTTTTTGCTTGTCATACAAATTCATTGATAGGTGCATTATTTCTTGACTTAAGTTGGTAGGATTAAAAAAATGCTGTATATATTGTTGCAAACTAAATAAATCGATCTATTATAGAGCTACACCAGATTCTTGCTGTTGAAAATTACTTTCTTTGTATCATATTGGCATTAATTGCAACAAATACCAACAATGCAAAAACAAGATACAAATTGTGCATTGACCATTATTAAAACAGTGTATTGCATTGACTAATAAAAAAATTTATTTGATAAACTTATCCGATAGTAATTTACTCTGTCTAACATACAGTAGTTCGGAAAGGGTCTTTGTTATATTCCCCCATTTTACAAATATTCCCCCTATTTTACAAATATTCCCCCTATTACAGACTGTTGCAATAACCTCTTTCAGAGAGCAAAATTTGACATTTGCACTGTCTGGTAGTTTAATTAAAAAACACTGGTTATGGCAGGGGGGGGGGTTATATACAAGGGGCTTATACAGTACATGGGTGCTCTTTTCAGTCTTGTGCTAGTATATATATAATAAACAAGTCAGTCATAAACAAGAAAATAAATATGTATAAATAACACACTTTGAATAACATAGTAAGTTATAACGACAACGAGGGGCTTATATGCGGGGGGGGGGGGG